CACGGAACTGCCCTGGGTGTCGAAGGACTCCTGGTTCAGAACTACAGACCCTGTGGCCCCGAGCTAAAAAGCCTTTGGCTCTGCCCAGCCTCTGCCCAGCTTCCAGCTCCAGCCACTGCTACTGGGGATGGCTTAGGGTCAGTAAAACGTAAGTTGCCTATGCCTATTTCTATCAGCCTCCTATTTAACTCTCCTAATCCAGCCATGTAATGCGAGTCAACAGGGTGCCTCCCTTAAAGGAGATTTGCATCTCTTACAATTTTCTTAACAGCACCCTATGGATAGGTCTGGGCCTCACACACCCTGCCAGGCCTTAAAAGTCTATCCAATAGTCCAGGGGGAAGTGGTCCCCTCCACTCCTGTACTGAAACTATAGATGCTTCTCCTTACACCGTGTGTTTTTAATGCCCTTATTTGTTTTGTCTCTAACAGACTAAAAGCTGTTAACTCCAAATGGTCGTCAGACAAGGCTTCCAGCCCATTCCACTGGACTACCTGAACAGCCCTCTGGACCAAGCAGTACAGTCTTTCCAAGGCCACTGTTGCACACCATAAGACAGGTAGAAAGAGGAAATACCCAAATCCCCCTCGACACCCACATGCCAGCTTCGAAGAAGTTACAGAAGACGGAACTCCATCCATAATCCCAAAGAAGAATTTTGGGTATTACCTCTTGAGGGGAAAATATTAGGCAAAAAGTCAGTTATGAGCTTATGTGTGTGTGACATAAAGGCCTAATGTGCCCACCATATGCATCTACATCTCAGTCATCCTGACAATGTTTCACAGACAGCCTGGCCTTTGCATCCTGCCCTGCCCCCTTCTACCTGATAACCTGCCAGGTGGAGATCCTTCTGCCTGACAAATCTTCCACAATCTCCCAGATGCAGCCCAGTATCTGCATTTCAGTATTACAGAACAGGCGTGGTTGGATCTCATTTTCATAGGAGGGGGGGTGTTATGTGCGGCCCTAAAGGAAAAATGTTGTTTTTATGCTGACTGAACCCAGGTGGTTAGAAACTCCATGGCCAAACTCAGAAAACGACTGGAAAAACGGCAATGGGAGAGGGAAACTCAACAAAAATGGTTTGAGTCATGGTTCGGCCGGTCCCTACCCTACTGTCAGCCCTAGCAGGACCCTTAATTGTTCTACTCCTAATTGTAACCATAGGACCTTGTGTGTTAAATAAACTCATCACCTTCGTGTGAAAACAAGTTAAAAATGTTAAACTCATGGTCATAAGACAACAATATATCACATTAAAAAAAATCTCTAAGATTAGAGATCCTCACAACAAGGAGTGGGGAATAAAGAGTTAAAATTGTATATGTGCAGGTGTAAAAAGTTAAGTTTAAGCTTACAGGTTTAAACCTTCCTGGTACAGCTGTAAAAATAAGACAGAGTAGCACCTTGGCAGTAGGGACTCCATTTTGGAGCACTTGAGACTGCATTCTGGGAAAGCACCCCCCCACTGTGAGACTCTGGTCTGAAACTATGATCTCAAATAGTCGGACAATAGCAGTGCACTACATCACCCTTGGCAATGCACAAAAACCCCTAGCATGACTGCTCAAGCTTAAAAGTAGAAAGGTTGCACCTGGGTTACCTGGGCTAATAATAAAGATGTGATTTGTCTGTGTCTTGCATTAATGTCAAGTCCTAATTGCTAATTGTAATATTGTAACTGGTATTGTCAAGATTATGATAAATATTAATTTCAATTAGGTTTTAGGTTATGTTGACCCCAGTAACCATATACTCTTTTGATTTTATGTACTCTCTTTTGATTTTAGCAACCGTGCATAGCAACCGTGTATTCCCCCCTTCCCGGTTTTGCGGTTTTTGCCTTTATAAACCCTAACCTTTGGTTATTCGGGGCTGCTCTGTTCATGTATGGTCAGACAGCCCCAGCATGCTGGATAATCAATAAAGCTTCCCCTTGCTGTTTGCATAAGAGATGTCTCTTGGTGACGTTTTTCGGGCAGTCGACCCTAACAACAGGTCAACAGAAATGTCCCAATGGGAAAGAAAAATGAGAAAAAAAGCAGAACAGAGAATCCAAGAACTAAGGAACGATTAAAAAAAGGTATAATGTACATGTATTGGGACAACAGGAGAAAAAAAAAGGGAAAAATATGTGAAACAATGGCTAAGAATTTTCCAAAAGTACTAACAGGTACCAAACCACAAATCCAGGAAGCTCAAAGAACTCCTAGTAGGATAAATACCAGAAAATCTACACCACGTACATCATATTCAAAAAAGAGAAAATGAAATATGAAGAGAAAGGGGTCAGCACTGTGGCATAGTGGGTTAAGCCATCACTTCTGACTCCAGTAACCCATACAGCACTGCCAGTTCAAGTTCCAGCTGCTCCACTTCTATTCCAACTTCCTACTACTGCACCTGGGCAGGCAGAAGGTGGCCCAAGTGCTTGGGCCCTTGCTATCCACGTGGAAGACCTGGAAGAAGCTCCCAGTTCCTGGCTTTGGCCTGGTCCAGCCCTTGCTATTGTGGCCATTTGGGGAGTGAAACAGAAGACAGAAGATCTCTGTCCTTCCACCTTTCAAATAAACAAATTAAAAAGATTTAAGAAGAGAAAATCTTGAAAGAACCCAGAGGGAAATAAAAGCACCTTAACTATAGAGGAACCAGGATAATAATTATAATGAACTTCTCTTCAGAGCTCATGCAAACAAGCATAGAGTGGCGTGAAACACCTAGTGTTAAAAGGAGAAACCACCAACAATGAAAATCTCAACAAATTAGAATTCTATGTCCAGAGAAATCATCCTTCAAAAATAAAGGAAAAATTTCTCAGACAAAAATTGAGGAATATGTTGGCTGCAGACCTGCCTTTTTAGGAATATTAAAGGAAGTTTTTCAGAGAGAAGAAAAATGATTCAGAAACTCCAATCTCCACAATGAATGGAAGAGTATTAGAGAAGGAATAATTAAAGGTAAAACAAAATTCTTTGCTTTTCTTATTATTAACAGATAAAGTTTATTCAAAATAAAAACTGCAACAAGGCATTCAGTGATTATAGGACATGGATATGTAAAATGAATTTCAGTGAGACTTGAAAAGACAGAGAGAGATGGATGAGGAATACTACACAATAAAGTAACTGCACTACCTATGGAGAGATCCTGAGCACAACAAAAACATGCCAATCTCTTCCACAGATTTTGGGCTCTCTTACATAACTTTTCTTTATGTAATAGGAGTTGTAGCTTTCAGGACTTTCATCGGTAGGATTGACAGTCTCATGATTTTAGACTTTAGGGATTTTTATCTCTTGAGATTTTCAACGTTTAGGATTATGGCTTTCAAGATTATGATCCACACTAAAAAACTTAAAATTAACTGCAGCGATAGCTGTGTATGTTTGTGAATGCACTAAAAGTTACTTGAAATGTAGAGAAAATGCCCCCTTTTTTAAAGAGATACAAACTGATAATGCTCTGAGTGTCTTTAAAATACGGAGATAAAGGAGAATGAATGAGACAGAGAAGCTCAGCAGATGCTGAGAGCGCTTGAATGCAGGTACCGGGTACGTGAGGTTCTCCTCAGCTTTCCCTTCAGGCTGTCACTGGACAGTGACAGGCAAGGTTGTTGTGGAACATCCCGGATCTATAAACACTCTGCACTTGATGGAAGAAGCTTCTCATAAAAACAAAAAAGACAAGCGCTTCCAACCAAAATACAGACATTCTTCTCCAAAACGTATTTGGTAATCTGGTGACCAGCACTGTTGATTCTGCTATCTTTTAAGTAGGCTATGAAGCAGTACCCTGAGCAATCTATCATTGTGCCTGCACAGTAAAGTAGCTTTGCTTCAAGCTGGCATCTACAAACAAGCAACTTGTAACTTAGATTTAATGAGATTTTTAAATTACATGAATTACCGTCTAGTCTTATTTTGGACCCATTCTCCTACTTCATTAAGCCCAGCTGTACTCATGTGGTTCTATGCAAATGATTAACAGTGAGGTGAATTACGGCAAAAGCTATGAATGGAAAGTTACCTGCTGATACAGCACCGGTAATTGTCAAAATATATTCTTCCTCTCTCATAGGCTATCGGCGACTTGGAATGAGTTGTCCAAACATTCTTAAATTTAGTACTTTTCTGAAAAACACAAGGAGAGTACACATAAGCTCATGTGCACGCGATTTTAAGTGGGATAGCTAAAATTACAATTTTCAAAATAGTTTCATGTAAACTCTCTAAAAACATCATTTTCAGCTCCTCCTCACTTTGCCCTCACGTTTTGGTTTAATACGGTTACCAACTTTTCCTTGCAGAAGATATTAAGCAGCTTAAAACTAAACGCATCTGGAGGCCCTATTAACTCCTGTTACTAATTCCCCATGTTCAGGGCACTCATTCCCTTCCCCTTCGCGTGTGACCCTCTTAAAAGGGGGCTCAATGCTGCACCCCAACCAGAGGCCTGCCCGCCAGGCGCCCCGCTGCCCGCCGTCAGGCCCCCAGCCGGTCACCTGGCACACCAGCGCCCGCAGGATGCCCAGGTTCGTCCTCTGCACCACGCCTGCATCACGCGAGAAGAAGCCCAGCGCCCGGCGACTCAGCCGGCTGCAGACGTTAGGCTTCCGGGTGGGGCCCATGGGGCTGGCCCGATGGAAGAGGGGCGCGCCCCTCACACCGGTGAGAGGCAGGAGTCGCTACCTCCAAACCTGGAGGCCCCAACTTTCCTGGTGGAGCCCAAGAAAAGCGGGCACGGGGGAGTGGACAGGAGGCACAAGGCCGGAGACGCCCCAGTGCTAAAGAAGAACGAAGGAGAAAGGGGGGGGGGGTGCGGCTTGCCCACTCAGAAGCACTCGGGCTGCGAACTACCCGACGCCCCTACACAGCGCAACCTGCCGCAGCAGCTCTGTAGTTGGGAAATGTAGTTCTTAGAACAATCTGGCGGCTTCCTAGAACTACAATTCCCATTAGGCTACGGGGCACGCGTGTTTGCCGCGGCCCCGCCCCCAACGCGCCTAGGCCCTGCCTCTAACCTGTCCCAACCTTGGCGCCTCCTGGCTTCGCTCTGCCCCGCCTCCTCCGGTCTAGCCGCGGCTGCCCTGGGGGACTGGCGGGCCTTTCCGGGTCTGCGCTCTGCGCGACGGGGCGAATCCCGGGGCTTGGTGCTGCCGCCTCCTGGTCTCCGCTGCTTTCGCGCTTCCTGAACTCAGTGATCGGTTCTTTACCGCCCTGGTACCCTCACGCCTCTCAGCCTTTCGCTCTGGGAGGCTCTGACCAGGTCCCCCGAAGGGCCCTGTGTCGACTGCGACCCCCCTCTCCCCTAAACGGGGTCAGGTGCTAAAGGTACGCCCCCACGACTTTCCTGCAGCCGCACGTTGCACGCTGTGGGTGAGGCTGACTGTTGAACGTTTGAGGGCATAAACACGGCTCTGGTCAGTGGTGGAAGATGCCGCCTCTCCCAGCAAACTAGGATAGGGTTACCCTTTCCCAGAGGCTGGCTCTTCTGTGGCCTGTGGGGAGACTGCCTGGTTTGGGGATAATTGCTGCAATTTCCTTCCCCTCGATTCCTTTCCTTACGGGGAATAAAATATGAAATACTTATATTCTTACTGGACTGCCTAAGACGTTCCGCGTTGACGTCTCCAAGTGAAGGAAAACTTTGTTAAGCACCAGCCCTGCTGGTGTGTTCCCAGTTCCCAGTACCCTAAAAAATGTCGATACCCATGTGCCAGGTGTGTCCCATTGCTGTGCCGCGAGCCCTTGAGGATGGTGTCTGTGTGAACCACGTGGACTTGGTGTCTCTTGTCCACAGGTGCTCAGTGGAAGCGAGGGATTGCCTCTGAGTGTCAGAGCAGAAACTACAACACTTGGTGAGTGCCTTGAGTCACAATTTGTTTCCTACAAACTTGCGTTATCTCCTTTTTACCTTACTGAGTTTCCTTGGGAGCCTGGGTTTTTGCTGATTTTGTGATGACCTATTTACAGCTCAGGGTGGAGTGCTTTGTATATTTTTAGAGGGTGCTATAATAGTTCATCTGGAATTCACGAATGCAGCTGTCACTGAGAAAGCGGGAACCCAGAAAAGATAACTGGGTTTCCTTGGGCAGAAATGAAATTCTAACCATTGCTGAGCTGATCTTGGCATTTCTCTCTTCTCCTTCCTCTTGGCCACCCTCACTCTGTCTTCCTGTGGCCTTTAGCTCACCTCCAAGTCACCCAAGGAAGAGTTCTCCTGTGTGCCCCACTTTCTCACCAGCAGCCTAATTCCTTTTGATGCTAACTCTTACGCATCTCATCTGGGAAACTTGGTGCCCTCCCCACTGCTGTCAGAGTGATTGTTCTAAAGCACAGAGCTGTCATTTGCCTGTTACAGCCTTGCAGTAGCTTCCAATCACCCATAGCAGAATTTCTGAAGCCAGCTGAGGAGGTAGGCAGGATCTTCCATTGTTAATTTAAAACATTTCACTCGCTGCCTCATAAAAAGAGGTGGAGAGCATCCTGTTCCTATTTGCACACAGAAAAAAACAAGCATTTTTGTGGGGAGCAGCCGGACTAGACTGAGTTACTGGAATTAAGACTTATTCTATGCATCTGCTCTCCCACAATATGGCGCTGGGAGAGAAGTAAACAGCTTCCGCACAGCTGCCTCCAGTTCAACTAATAAACTGTAGGACTTGCTCCTGATTGGAGGAGAGCAGCGTACTCGGCGTGTGGGCAGCCGAGTTAGGATTGGCGGAGGAGGACTATAAAGGAGGAGAGAAACGGCATGCACCGGGAACATCTAAGGGGAACATCTAGCTGAAGGAACACCCGTGCAGCCCCCGAGAAAGCCGGCCGGCGGTGTGCCGCTCCCCTGCGGAAGTGGGGAATGTGGCCAGGGGGAACTGCCCTTCCACGGAGGTGGAAGGGATAGTAGCCAACCCGGGAAGAACCAGCAGCAAACCCGGGGAGGGCCGAGCAGACGAAAAGAACAGCGCAGGGTCCTGTGTCGTTCCTCCACGAAGAGGGGGAGCGACATAATGGTGCCGTGACTCGGATATGAAGCCTAGGCAGGGTTCAGTGTTGCTCCTCCACGAAGAGGGGGAGCGACAATTTTCAGTGTGTGAAATATAATTGTAGGTCTGAACTCCTTGTGTCTTTTATACAGCTGTAACACCTAAACATTTACAGCATTTACAAGCAAAAACTCTAAAATAAATCAATTCAATAAAAAAATAAATTCAATAAATTCAAGTGAATACTTAATCACTGTGACCAATGAAGCTGTTTTCTGGACCCAAAGAACTCTGACAGTGAATGTCTCCTGTTCTCCATGACACGCTGTCCTTACAAAAGGGCCTACCCATTTGCCCTTGTTTGGAGAGATTACTCAGTGCCCTGACAACTGCATTCATTCATTCATTCATTCATTATTTATTTATTTATTTGAAAGGCAGAGTTACAGAGAGGCAGAGAGAGAGAGAGAGAGGTGTTCCATCTACTGGTTCACTCCCCAAATGGCATCAATGGCTGGAGCTGCACCAATCTGAAGCCAGGAGCTTGGAGCCTCCTCCAGGTCTCCCACATGGGTGCAGGGGCCAAGCACTTGGGCCATCTTTCACTGCTTTCTCAGGCCATAGCAGAGAGCTGGGTCAGAAGTGGAACAACCAGGACGTGAACCGGCGCCCATATCAGATGCCGGCACTGCAGGTGGCAGCCTCACCTACTATGCCTCAGCACTGGCCCGGCTACTGCATTTAAACCACCACAAAGCCTGCCTTTGTTAATGTGTCATGATGTCATTCAGCCTTTACTTGACAAGTAATATCATTATCATTTACATATAGTAGTCCCCCCTTCTGTCTCATGAACCTGCACCTGTGACAAATGGTACCACAAATTGAGCAGTACTCTCCTAAATACAAATGTATGAACTAGCATCTTGTGGCAGTACTCAGTTAAAAGGTAGCTGGTCATCCAGGTTACCCAGAGAATCCCTTTGTTAACTTTTTCTCATGCTTTTTCTCAAGTTGGAAGTAAAAGATTGCCTAACAAAGTCTTATAGCCTTGAGAGTATATATACCAGCCCTAGGGGTCTGTATAGAGTGGTGTACAGGGCACTCTCTTATTTTTTATTTTTTTATAAAGTGTTATTTATTTATTTGAAAGTCAGAGTTACACAGAGGGAGAAGGAGAGGCAGAGAGAGAGAGAGAGAAGTCTTCCATCCACTGGTTCACTCCCTAATTGGCCCCAATGGCTGGAGCTAGGCCTCTCCGAAGCCAGGAGCCAGGAGCTTCTTCTGGGTCTCCCACGCAAGTTCAGGGGCCCAAGGACTTGAGCCATCCTTTACTGCTTTCCTAGGCCATAGCAGAGAGCTGGATCAGAAGTGGAGCAACCAGAATTCGAACCCGCACCCATATGGGATGCCAGCACCGCAGGTGGTGGCTTTACTCGCTATGCCACAGCGCCGGCCCCAGAGCACTCTGTTATCTTCTCTTGCACATTTTTTACTCTTGTGGTTCTGACATGTTTACCCACTTTCTGAAGCCAATATGTCTTTACACTTTTGTTTCTCTGGAGCTATCTTCACATCCGTCTTGTCTCTATTTTTAAAAATGGTTATTTTATTTGAAAGGGAGAAAGAGAGTGAGTGCTCCCATCCACTCATTCACTCCCCCAAGATCCCCCAACATCCCAGAACTGGGCTGGGCAAAGCTAGGAACTTGGTATTTAATCCAGAGCTCCCATGTGGATGGCAGAGACCCAAGTACTTACCTGCTGCCTCCCAGCGTATGCCCAAGCAGGAAGCTAGGATTTGAACACAGGCACTCTGAAGTGGGATATGGGCACACTTACTTCTACAAAACGTGCCTGCCCTTCTCATCTATTTTTTTAAAGATTTATTTATTTATTTGAAAGTCAGAGTTACACAGAGAGAGGAGAGGCAGAGAGAGAGAAAGGTCTTCCATCCACTGGTTCACTCTTCAGATGGCTGCAATGGCCAGAGCTGCACCTATCCAAAGCCAGGAGCTAGGAGCTTCTTCCAGATCTCCCACACGAGTGCTGGGGCCCAAGGACTTGGGCCATCTTATTCTGCTTTCCCAGGCCATAGCAGAGAGCTGGATCAGAAGTAGAGCAGCTGGGACTCAAACTGGTACCTGTATGGGATGCCAGCACTGCAGGCAGTGGTTTTACCCACTATGCCACAGTGCCAGCCCTGTCTCATCTATTTTTTATCAAGATGTATCCCAGGTATCAGGTCCACCTGAACCCTTTTCCTGTTCAGTAGCTTGCCTCATCTGTGGTTCTGCATATGATTGTGGCACTATATTAGAATTATCATTTGTCTGTCTTCCCAACTGAGCATTCTGCCTCCTTAGTACATTCCCAAAATGTGGTTGATGCATAAGTATGTTGAATGAATGAATGGACTATAAAAGCAGTGTGCTTACGTAGAGTCTGTTATAGGAAGCTAAGTACTTTCAGCATCCATGCAGATTGTCTCCCCTTCTTTAATTCAATGGGAAACCACAGTTTTAATAGGAAGATAACTTTCAAACAACTTAAATCCCCAAGGGTTCTGCCTTTAAAGTAGGTATTTACCATTTGTTGAAGGTTAAAGTGGCACGAACAGATACAGTTTATATTTGGGAAATGACTTCTCTTGGTTTTGGGCTTAGAACAAACATTCGTTCTCCCGCTTATTTTTTTTTCCCATTCTTTGTCTATGTTATGTTTACAGACTACTTAACCACCCTAGCCATATTTTAAAGACAAGGGAGAGGAAATATGAACTCAGAAGTTAATAAATGTGTTTTTATACATATACTTTTTTAAAACAAGCACAGTATAACTAAATAAATATCTAAAACACTCAGGTTATTAAATTTTTTTTTTTGACAGGCAGAGTTAGAAAGAGACAGAGAGAAAGGTCTTCCTTTTCTGTTGGTTCACCCCCCAAATGGCTGCTAAGGTCGGCGCACTGCAGCCGGCGCACTGCGCCGATCTGAAGCCAGGAGCCAGGTGCTTCCTCCTGGTCTCCCATGCGGGTGCAGGGCCCAAGCACTTGGGCCATCCTCCACTGCCTTCCTGAGCCACAGCAGAGAGCTGGACTGGAAGAGGAGCAAGTGGGACAGAACCCGGCACCCCAACTGGGACTAGAACCTGGGGTTCCGGCGCCGCAGGTGGAGGATTAGCCAAGTGAGCTGCGGCACTGGCCTCAGGTTATTAAATTTAAACCTTTATTCAGAGACAAAAAATTCTGACTAAAGCCATAGACCCTCATTCATTCAACATGTAATTATTTTTCATCCAAAGCATGCTTGGAATTAATTTTATAAAGCAGTGAGGACTATAGACAAGGTCCCTACATGTGCAAAGAGGTGGATAATAAATAAATAGGTGAAAAATAAGATTTTCAGGAAGATAAGTGCCATGAAGAAAATAAACAGGGTGATATACTTAGTCTGATTGGGAGGCCTGCTTTAGCCAGGGTGGCCCAGGAAGGCCACTGTTAAGAGGGGCTTTGAAGCCACACCCTGAAAGACAAGGAGTAGCTCACCTGTGAAGATGTAAGGTACTCAGAAAAGTGGGGGTCCTGAGGCCAGTGTTGTGGCACAGCAGATTAAGCCACTGCCTGCAATGTGGACATCCCATATGGGCACTGCTTCGAGTTCCAGCTGCTCCACTTCTGGTCCAGCTCACTGACAATGTTCTTGGGAAAGCAGCTAAAGATGGCCAGCTGCTTGGGCCCCTGCCACCCACGTGGGAGACCCAGATGGAGTTCCAAGCTCCTGGCTTTGGCCAGGTTGTTGTGGCTATGTAGAAAGTGAACCAATGGATAGAAGATCTCTGTATCTCTGTCTCTGTTTCTTCATCTCTCTCTCTCTC